CATATATATATGCGCATATATATATATATATATATATATATGCGCATATATATATGACAGTGTTCCAAGACTGTGAATATTGAATACAATTCTTTTCATAATAGGTCAAAAAGGAAAGTGCTTGGAAGAAAGGATTCTGGAGACCTTTCTTCAAGGAACAGACTGAAATCTTCAGCTAGTAGTAATAGTGTGTCTTCTGTCAGTAGCACCTCACCCGCAACTAATACTCCCCTCACCACCAGTGCGGGAAGCCCAGCATGCAGCCAGAGGTCTCCTGGACTTATTTATCGGAATGCCAAAAAGTCCAGCACATCGAATGAGGAATTTAAATTACTGCTCTTGAAAAAAGGCAGTCGGTCAGATTCTAGCTACAGGATGTCAGCCACTGAGATACTAAAGAGTCCTATTTCTCCCAAATCTCCTGGAGAACTAATTGGGGATACTCTTCAAAATGCAGATGAGTCCTTCCAAGCCTCATCAAGTGCCGAGGCATTAGCTCCTCTCTCTCCTTGTCCCCCAAGGATAAATGCAGAAGGGTTCTCTTCGAAAAGCTTTCCTACATCAGCATCTTCACGTGTAGGACGATCACGAGCACCTCCTGCTGCAAGCAGTAGCCGATACAGTGTCCGCTGCAGATTGTATAACACCCCAATGCAAGCCATTTCAGAAGGGGAAACTGAGAATTCTGATGGGAGCCCACATGATGATCGATCATCTCAAAGTTCAACCTAAGTTGCCTAAGGGCCTGAGCACAGTTCTGACTGTTAAATGGGGGAACTCCGCATTTGCTGAGATCATTTGACTATAAAAAGCCAATTCTGTAGCAGTCAAATACCTTACAGGGCAATATGTGATGCTTGAAAATGTTAAAGATTGCTAAAAGATGGAATTAAATGATCTGTAGGTATTTATTACATCACATTTTCTATGAGTAGAAATATATTGTCAACCTTTAATTTTCTTTTTTTCTCTCTCGTCTCTTCTTTCCACCATCAGTGTAAATTTATCCAGTTTTCTATATTTCTTCTTTCTCTCCAGAGACATTACATGACTGTTTTGCTTCCCGAGGGGTGGTAAAACATAAAATTGGTGAGGAATTAGTATTTTTTTACATTAAAATGAATTGAAACAAAATAGAATGGACAAAACAGATGTACATATCTGTATTTTTGATAAGTGATTGTAAATAGAATTATTACAGAGAAAAATGTGGTGGGTGGCAAATGAAAACTATCTTGTTAAATGACAAAAAAGGATAAAGATAATGGCTGTATTCTGTGAATACAATTTTCAGATCAACATTATTTACATATCAACCACTACCACTGTTAAATAATTAAAGCCTCTAACATGAATTTAACACTTGAATTAGTGGAAATCCTATTAATAAAAACGATGAAATTAAGTAATATCTGTTTTTGTTTGAAAATGTCATTCCAAGCAAGCTAATTTTAAAATGCAATTTGTGAAAAGAGGCTAATTGACAAACACTACAAGTACACAATGTTTATAAACCAGATTTTCTGCTCTGGCTTCTCCCTCCATTAAGAATTCTGAGAAGTGTAGTTATGTGAAAGTTTTGTTGGTATACCACTCCTTCAGTTGAGTTCTTCACTCATCACTTAAACCCATTTTAAAGTTCTCTAAAGTCTGTTTCCATGGCCATTTCTTCATTCAATATCCTCTCTTGTCACTCTCCTCTTGTTTACATGTGAATGCACCGGCATCTGCTGTTCTCTGAGGAAATCCTTGTGTTGGCTAGTCTTCTCAGCTATTGCTGCAGAATGATTGTAATAACTATGTTATTTGTTGAGTGCCCATAAACAAGGTACTGCACTGAACATGTGGACTACATAAAAACTACTGAAGTAGGAATATTAAAGGAAATCTAGAAAAAGATTCTAAAACTCATATTAATAGTTATAGGTTTAAAAAAGAGGAATGGAAAGTTTTAAAATAAGGTAAATAGACAACCAAAAATTCATTTGTAACAAATGCTATAAGCAAGAGCAATACAAGAAAAAAATGAAATAGAGGGAAAATGAGATTGAATAAGCAATAGGGTATTAGCAAAATACAAAGTATTAAAAATAAATGCAAAGATCTGCCTTAAAAATCAACTTATGAGTGAAACTAGCATTTAGTTGTCCAAATCTGAAAAGTGAATTTTAAGAAATAGTAAAATAGATCACAGAGATAAAGATAGATAGATAGATAGATAGATAGATAGATAGATAGATAGATAGATAGATAGAT